CGTCGTCACACGGCGCGTTTGTGCGACTGACCGATTTATCATTCACTTCCACTTCAAGTTTCATTAATTCATTTACGGTCTAGTTTTTTTAAACATAACCTGGTGGTGCGCGATTACGTTAAATTCAAATTCTTAACCGAGCTCAAGTCATGTCAAGTGTTACGAAAACGGGGACGACTTAAGAAAACGGCACCTCAACCAGCGAGAATACTGCTTAAGAAACGCGGTCGGGCCGGCCGAAGAAAACCATTCAACAATCCTTTCTGTCTCTTCGTTGGGACGCCTGTCAGAGACAAAGGGGGAGGCTGTAACAACCACAACTTTAACTCGCCATTAGTTCCGTCGCGTCACCGCTAGATGGCATTAGTACTCTGAAACGCGCTATCGTTTTGTTAACCCAATAGTATAAGTCATCTCATTTGTTTTGAATTGTTAATGTCTCCAGTAGCGCCCTGAGCCGAGATCCGTGCCCACTTGGGCGCCCTCAGGCCCGCTACTTAGCTTTAAGTTTATTTTAGGGGTTATGAGCCTTCAGCTCGCCCTTCTTCTCCGGTGGCGCAGTAAAGGCCATCTGCAAAATATCCTTCATAAAAAAAAAGAATTGTTAATGGAGCAGAGGTCCGTGCCCACTTGGGCGCCCTCAGGCCCGCTACTAGCTTTAAGTGTATGTTACGGGTTTTGAGCCTTCAGTTCGCCCTTTTCTTCCGGTGGCGCAGTCAAGGCCATCAGCAAAAAACTGCAGTGTTCTTTAAAAAAATAATTGTTAACGCTTTCTACCGCTATAGCATATTGTGTACTCGTGTCTCGTATAATAATAATAACTTTATTGGTACCCATTACAAATACTATACAAATAATTAGTTATTGATTGATTGATCCCGACCCCACATAATGATTTAACCTGTATTAGCGGATAGTACTGTTGCTGCCACGGCGGGTAAGCATCAATCGTATATTTAACAACAAATGGCTTACGAGTAAATTAAAAGTACGATAAAACTGTTCACCCAGAAAAGAATAAAATATAAGAAAGATAGGAAATGAAACTATTTTTCCGGATTTAAATCGCGTATATTTGTTTTTTCAAACAAACCGACGTTTCGGGCCCTTTACAGGTCCCATGGTCACAGTTAACCGTGACCATGGGACGACATGGGACATTACTAAGGGTGGTAAACTAGGCGATGAAAGACTCTTGTGTTCGGTTTTTTTCATCAACGACAGTTTACTGTTTTCGCCAATTATCATAATTGTAAATGAATTATAATTGGACATTCATAAAACGTTGCTTAAAGGTTATGTATGTATGTGTTAATAATAAACTAATACCATTTTACACTATAGGTGCGCTTCTTTTTTTTTAATAATAAATATTGCACAGAAAAAAGCTCCGAATACATTAAATAAAAGGAAAACACAAACAAAAGGTACTACTTATTTCTTTAAGAAATTTCTTCCAGCAAACCTAAATACAAGACAAGATAATTGTAAAAACGGGCTTACGTGCACAAATCCAAAATTATAAGATAAAGATACTCGTAACTGGAACCTAACGAGAGAGCGACAGGGTTTGTCCTGAGACCTGAGAAAGCTGAAACGCTCTTTCAGATACTCGGGAGATGAAGGGTTACGAAGAATATTGTAGAGAACAGAGACGATATGCAAATTCCTGCGGAGACGAATGAGAAGCCACTCGATTGCGATAGTGTGAGATTCGGTCAAATTTACGTAGGCCAAAGATAAACCTAATACACGGATTCCTTCTTTTTTTGACTTTCTTCCTTCTGTTTGTGACTTAAATAAAACGTCAGTCTTGAAATCAAACACGATTAGGACATGGTTTGACGTAAGGGACTTTTGTTGTTAGGCTTTAAACGATTATCTCTAGTTACAGGCGTCTTACAACACAAATACTTTTTATTCTTTACACGCTCCACGATCGCGAATTAGTTCACCCGATTATCGGTTTAATATAATAACATAATTCGTTTATTTGCTTGAAACACCATGTAACAGAAGACGTAACAAAAATAGTGCTTTACAATCCTGGGGGTATACTCTCGACCTCCGTCCGATATCCGTCCGAAACAATATTTGACCAAATGAAAAGACGCGTGATGCAAATGAAGCTTCATGCTGGATACTTGTCTTTTAATTTTGTCGAATATTACTTATCTGACAGTAATTGTTTCGGACGGATGTTGGACGGAGATCGAGAGTAGCCCCCCTGTTCCGCTTATACGAGGCATGTTTTTTTTAAATATTTTTTTGAAATAAGAAAAAAAAGCTATTTGTAACAGTTTTAACATTACTTCCAAGCCTGTACTTTAATCCATTTTGAATTGACTTCAAAAAAGGGGTTCTCAATTTGACTGTATATAACCGACTTCAAAAAAAGGAAGAGGTTCTTAATTCGACTGTATTTTTTTGTGTGTATGTTACCCGATAACTCTGTGAATCGATTTTGTTGATTTTTTTTTTATTGGAAAGAGGGTATTGTAAAACGCAGGCCGTCACTCAAACATTGTATACATACTAGTGGGGAATGCAAATACGGATTACCTGTGAATCGGGTTACGAAAACGGATTTTGCGACGAATCCGGATTTTTTGGATTTTTCGGAAAACTAAGGACTTCATAAATTTGCGATTTCAAAAAATTTTACGTATGTGCTTAGAAATAATGTAGCATTTTTCTCTGAAATAAAGAAGATCTTTAAAATTAGAAATTAAATGGTGTCAATTATTTTATTGCACTTACAAGGGTTTAAAAATCCGGATTAGATTTTAAAATCCGGAAAAATTTTAAAAAAATCGTAAAAATCCGGATTTATTAATTACGGATTGGATAAGGTAGTGTTAAAATATGTAAATGTTTTATAATTATTATTAACACAAAGATCGATCCGGCATGCCGTGTCTGACGCTCTCCCAACTAAGCTACGAAACGAACCAACAGACCTTAAAAATTTTTCTATGTGTTTGTTGCATAACTTTATTTTTTTTTCTTCTCAGTGTGTAGTTTTCCGTGAACCGTTTTATTAAACTAAATCACGTCTCCATTAGAATGGTTCTGCCAGTTGGCAAGGCGACAAACAAAATTGTTACATAGTACGTGGGACCGCGTGGCTGTCGTGTTAAGTAATAAATTATTTAACTAATAGTTAATCTTATCACGATCTTACCGATGGACGTACTGACGTTACATAACCGATAAATGCAAGACGTAGCGTGATTTGATTAGTGATGTCTCGTTTGAAACTGACTTTAATTTTAATTGTATTCTGTGTAATAACCGGAGATCATAATAATTAATTAATTAATGTTGAATTGTTTCTACCCGGATCATATTCTGGTTCTTGTTGTACACTTCGCAAATTGTCTACCAGATGCAAGACGTCCATTTTTCAGAAAGTTTCTTTTGCAGAATATCTCTTTTTCACAATGTCTCTTCCCCAAAAAAAATCCCTTTTTTCCCAATTTACATTGACTCCTGGTAGTCTTAAACAGAAGTGAGAAAAATCACAAAAAAGAACTATGTTGTGAATGAATTAAAAAAGTGATTGTATTGCATTTATTTTCGAGATTTACCCCTTTTTACTAATCAGGGAAAAGATCTTTAGACATCCAAGCTACTGGAAATCTTTTAGAAGCAGTAGAGCTCCTCGTGGGGGGATTTGTCCAGGGAAATACGGCCACCTTATCTATTCTTGCCGCCAAGCAGTAATGTGAGCATTACTGCGTTCTGGTTTTGAAAGGTAAAGCTCAACTCACACTGGCGCAGAGTCGAAGCGTCGCGACGCGTCATGTTTTTCGTCAATTGCATATTCATCTCTATTTTCCCATTATTAAGGTAATATCTGTTATGCAAATACTACGACACGCGACTTTGCGCCAGTGTGAGTTGAGCCCGGGTGCTGGTGAAGTTACAGGCAGATCAGATCTTTGTGATTTAAGGACTTGTTCGTTCCATCACTTGATATCATAAAAAATACACATACAGTTATACTCCGAACTCAGACTCCGAAACTGTCATGGAAGTATACTCAGTCCAACTATTTATTTAACTTTTGACAGCTCGAATTGTAGTCCATCAGTGATGCCTAATGCGTTTCCGACTCGATTTTCTATAATCGATTTTATTTATGAAGAAGTTTTAATCGGGAATGTGAGCGGATTCAAAAAAGAAGTATATTGTTGTCTGATTGGGGTCGTGATGTTGCTTTTGACAATTTGTGTACTCAAGAATTAATAATTTATGTTAATTAGTATACAGGTGATGATTCCCGTTCATATGGAGGAGAATCCGACGGTTCATCATAATAATAAATAAGAATTTATTGTAATTATTTATAATTTATTTCATTTTATTATAATTTATTGGACAGGTATTTATAGACTTGAATAATCTTCGTTACATAATCTGTTGGCTCGATAAATATCGGAGCTAAAGAGCACGTCACTTCACTAAAATTAAAAAATAAGAGTCCAGGAAGTAGCGCATTTTTTGTCTATGGTTGTATGCCAATAATTACGGAACTTCGAAGGCATGCATACATTGTTCATCTTGTCAGCTTGGAGTTTTAAATTTCGCAATTTGTTAAAGTTTATCATCATCTTGTTAGGCTAAAAACAGTCGTTTTTAGACTAGCAACAATGTAAACTTTCCCTGAATCGCGATGCCGTGATTCTGACAATTTTAATATCACCTGCGTGATTGGGAGGAATTACCGTTATTAACTTCTTTGAACGCTTTTTAAAAGTATCCGGTTTCGATTAAGAACACGTCTGTCAGATTTCGGAGAAAAGCGTCCGCTTTTTGCCAGTATCTAACGCTGTTGTTAGGTTTCTTAAAATCTTGTTTATGAAAGTTCCAATATGGTTTATATATTATATACATATATAAGAAACCAAATATGGTTTATCTGCCTTTACATCGCTCAATTTCGTGTGTATTACAGTGTCTAACTGCCAAAGTATCAAAATTATGCAATCAGCAATATCATCATCATACACAGCTTGATTTCACCCTCTGCTCGGTATAGGCCTCTTGAAGTTTGTGCCATCCACTATGGTCTCGTGCTAGCTGACGCCCCGCGACGCATAGTATGTCGTCGACCCACCTTGCAACAGGGCGCTCGACGCTTCTTTTGCCCATCCTCGGCCATCAATCAGTCGATGTGTTGCTCCATCTGTAATCACCTTGCCTTGCTAGGTGTCTCGCCCAGCCCCATTAGAGTTCCATGATCCGAGTTCCAGCATCATGGACTTTCGTCCGTCGTCGGATTTCAACGTTCGGAACTCAGTCTACAAGGCTGATGCCGAGCATGGCGCGCACCAGGGCCCTCAGCAATAAGAATAATGAAAAGTATTATTATTAAAGATACACAATTTTATTGTACTCAAATGAATCAGTTCGAATGTATTTGAATCTTTTAATTGTATTAATAAGAAACCAATCAGCCATTCATGGAATCCGATATTGTACATAAATGAAACTGAATACAATAGCACAATTAATCTGCAATTGAAATGCAAAGTACCCACAACCTCTAACGTAATCAATTGCTTTTTGTTGCAGATTTTCTTCTGAACGTGAGAAGAAAGATCCGTTGTCAACTATCCAATAACAATGGACGAACACACAGTGTTTTGAAATTAGAAAATCGAATAAAAAGCGCCATATTTACGATGTGACATAACGCCATCTAGCGGTGAGACCGTGAACTGCTTAGTGAAAGTGTTTACTTGGTGTCGGTATCGGTACATCTGCTTTAACAACAATGAAGTTAAATTTATTCAAACGGTCGATGATTTTCGCGACCTTCTTCGGGTCATGTTTGTGCATAGCGTTAATAGTTGCGTCTCTTGGGACGACGCAATGGATTGAGGCGAGAGCGAAAAGGACATCAAATCCTCTCGAATCCGAGGGTAGAATCAGCTTTGGATTGTTCGAGGGACACAAAGAGCTGAACGTCGGATACGGATGGAGGAATCGCAACTTCAGTGGTGGGTATTTTTTCCTTTGTTTTAAACACACTACATTTTTTTAAACAACCCAACTAAAACTACAAAATACTTTCGAAAATTATTCACAAGTTGAAATACATCCCTCGAATAGAAATGTCAAACCTCTTCGAAAAAAAGTCACACGTAGACAATCAACATTGCATCATAACCGCGTGTCACACTGTTAAAACATAACCAGAGACTAACTAAGTTACGTTAGACGAAGTTGCAAAACTGCATGATACAAGATTCTAAACGACGTATGCCATAATGTATCTATTATGTTTCATAAGCCAACTATTCTAGATAACGAAATCGTTATCCAGCATGAAATCATGATCAATACATTTTATATGCATGGCTGCTGGCCTTACACACAAAATTCGAAATGAAATTTTTATTCCGGACCTAATAATAATTTTTTCAAAGACTCCAACTTTTCGGACGCTTTGTAGATCTCATGGTCTTTTTTTATAATATTAAGTGACGGGACGAATAAGTCGTGCGCCTGATGATAAGCTACACGCCTGTCCATAACAGTTGCAGTGCCGTTCAGAGCTTTAATTCCCTGAAGTGCACTGCCACTGTGCTCGACAACCTGAGACAAGTTGGCAAGTCCCAGTGCCTGTAATTTCACTAGCACCCTTAACTCCGAATTCTGTCACAAGGAGCTTTACTACTAGAATACTGTCACGTTCGGGCTGGGATTTTGTACTGGATTTTTTTTGTATGGTCAAGACAGATATAATTGTTGCATACGTAGTTGGGTGGATCATCTATTTAATGTAAAACAGTGTCCTTATTTTTTTAAAATCATAAAATGAACAAAGGCCGGTTTTGAAACTTGATAATCGAATCAGATTGTTTATAATTACTACAGTTTATTAAAATGTTTAAAATTCCAAAATAATTAATTTAAAAAATGTCGTGACCCAGTAGTCAAAACATAGATGTCGTACAAATTCCACCTGTCCCCAAGGCATACAGAACAATGAAACGACGATGTTGTCTAAGATTTTTCCTCCATTTGTCTGTATATGTAGTATCGGTAATGTGTTTTAATACACATGCATTCTAAATCTGGATTTGCGAGAGCTTTGATTTAGTTTTCAGTAAAAAAAACACAGAATAGTTGTCCCCTTTTTAACAACAAAGCGCATTGTCGCCTGGGTCACAACAAAGATAGTACCTATTATAATTTTGGAAGCACAGACTGGCACAGACAAATAATACTTTGACAGTTATTTGAATAACTGTCGCATCTACCATACAGCGGCCAGGATGTTCCCATTGAAACCAAGCAGGTTTAACACCCCCCCGCAATGTGAACATCCTGTTGACAATAACAAAGTGAACACACACTTAAATTATACATATTTTTTTTTTTTTTTTTTTTTAATATATAATAGACACACGCTTGGCCACAATCTCACCTGATGTTAAGCGACGATGTGACCGACGATGGGACGCGTTTGCCTAAAAAATGCCTATTCACTCTAGCCTTGAATAGCCCCAAATTGTACTTTTCGGGAAATACATATGCCGGTAGAGCATTCCATTCCTTTGCCGTACGCATCAGAAAGGAGGAGGCAAAGCGCTTAGTGCGAATAGGTGGAATATCAACGACATAAGAATGGAGTGCTCCGGACCTTCTAGTCGACCGAAGGAGGAACGGTGAGGGCGGAACCAAATTGAAAAGTTCCTGCGCACACTCCCCGAAATGTATCCGATAGAAAACCGACAAGCAGGCTACTTTTCTGCGATGATCGAGATTTTGGAGCTTCGACTCCACAAGAGGATTATTGTTAATAAGTCTCTTTGCTTTACGCTCCACCGAGTCCAAGGCAGCTAACTGGTATTGGGCAGAGCCGTCCCAAAGGTGGCAGCAGTACTCCATACAGGATCGAACTTGTGCTTTATACAGATTTAAAAGCTGTTCAGGTGTGAAGTACCGCCTGACCTTGAAAAGTATGCCTAGTTTTCTGGCAGCAGTTTTTGCCAAGCACTCGATGTATCGCCCAAAGTTGAGGTTGGATGATAAGTCCAGACCAAGTAGCTCAAGGTGGTCCCTTATCGGCACGGATACACCTCGGAAAGTCGGAGTAAGGTGTAGGGGACTCCGTTTTAATGAGAAAAGACACGCCTGTGTTTTAGCCGCATTAAATCTGACCCTGTTAGCATCTCCCCAGTCGGAAGCAGCTTTCAGACTCAGGTTCAACCGGGTGACCATCGCCTCTCGCTTACACCGGATCTCTTCACTGTTGTCTCGGGCGTCTGGCACATAACTCACCGCCACTGTGCTGTCGTCTGCGTACCCAAAGATACCGGGCATCAGCAGCAGGTCGTTGATATGCAGCAAGAATAGAGTGGCGGAGAGGACAGATCCCTGAGGTACACCGGCATTTATACCATGAGGAGCAGACGAGTAACCATCTACAACTACACGGATTGACCTATCCTTCAGAAAATCGCCTATCCATGTGCAAAAGCCAACAGGAATTCCGTAAGCTGGAAGCTTGTTTAACAGGCTATCATGCCAAACCCTATCAAAGGCCTTTGATATGTCGAGAGACACGGCAAGCGATTCACCGCGTTTCTCGACAGCCTCGCTCCATAAATGTGTGGCGTACGCAAGAAGATCCCCAGTAGATCGTCCACGGCGGAAACCATATTGTCGATCACTGAGGAGATCGTTATCTTCGAGGTATCCAAGGAGACGGCTGTTCAATACACGCTCCATAGTCTTACAGAGTATGGAGGTGATTGCGATAGGTCGATAATTAGATGGGTCGGCATGGCTACCTTTCTTAGGTACAGGCTGTACATTTGCAAGCTTCCAGGATTTCGGGACTTGTCCAGAACTCATAGAGAGGCGATACAGGCGAGTCAACACCGGAGACAACTCGGGTGCACAGTTCCGCAGGACAATCGCTGGGACTCCGTCAGGGCCACTGGCTTTGTTGACGTCTAATTTGCGTAAAGCTTTCAACACCTCTTTTTGACGGATAGTGATTTCGGGCATTTCCGAGTCACATCGAGGTAGTGTAGGTGGTGTTTGCAAAGTAGCGTCAAGACGGGAGTTGGAAGCAAAAAGAGAAACAAAAAGATTTGCTTTCTCTTCAGCGGTATGAGCCAGCGATCCGTCATCTCTCATTAAAGGCGGAAGGGATGACCTGCAGAAATTCGCTTCGACCGATTTAGCGAGTGACCAGAATGCTTTACTCCCTGATGGGTATGAAGCTAACCTGACCCCAATACGACTAATATGGCCGAAGCGAGCTTTCCGTATCGCTTTTTTGCAGGATCTAGCGGCTTTATTAAAGGCTTTCTTCAGACGGAGGGTTTCCGGTGCTTTGCGATCTCGAGCATCAGCCCAAGCCTGGTACGCAGATTGCTTTAGCGTTTCCGCAGAAGCACACTCAGCGTTAAACCAAGGGCGAGCTTTGCCGCTGGAGGAGACTTCGAAATACGGAATAAAGTATTCCATAGCCCGAATAATCACCTCAGAGACGGCAGACGCGCAGCACGTCGGATCGTCAGAAGAGAAGCACAGCTGCCGCCAGGGATAAGATGCAAAGAAATGCCGCATCGCATCCCAATCTGCTGACTTGTATCGCCACATCCTCCTAGTACTTCCCGTACTGAGATCGGGCGGGGAGTAGACAGATACAGATTTCACCAGACAGTGATCGGATGTCCCTAGTGGGGATGAGACCGATACTTGGTAGCGGTCTGGATCGGTTGTCAGCAGAAGATCCAGGCAATTGGCAGTGTGGTCGTCAACGTCCGGTACCCTGGTAGCGCAACTCACCAGCTGGGTGAGGTCTAGCGATAGAGCACATGCCCGCGCCTCTCTTCCAGCGTGGTCGGTTTTTTGGTATGGGAACAACCATTCCTGGTGATGGGCATTAAAGTCCCCCAAAAAGACAAGTTGTGCTTTAGGATACCGTTGTTGGACTGTTTCCGCCGAGCTGCAGAGATGGTTGAACAACCTAGTCGTCTCCGGGTCTCCAGAATGCGACCGATACACACTGGCGTAGACAATTTGTTCCAGTCCAGTGTCTACCAGAACCCACATTACAGAGAGATCGGGGTCTTCAAGGTCACGGAGACGTTTAGAGCAGATGTCATCACGAGCGTAAACGCAGGTACCAGCGCGCTGCTTAAATTTGTGCTCCAGAATGTAACCTGGGTAATGCAGATACGCCGTGTCCGAAGGACATCTAATTTGGGTCTCCGTGAGGAAGAGCATGTGAGGCCTTTCAGTCTCAAGATGGTGGTGGACAGATGAGAGATTGGAGTGCAGACCTCGGATGTTCGAGAGGTGCACTTTAAGTGAAAGGACGTGCATCCGCTGTTTAGCCTTCCTCAATTTTCTTGACCTTTTCATATTAGGGTTAGAGTGAATGGGGAGAGCGAAGGCAGTTGTACGAGACACTACTACTGAAAGTCATGCGGCACATACCCTATATGGTACGCCGATGGGAAACTAGACTGGAGCGCGCGGGGACGCCCGAACCCCCCCGGGAGTATAAAACACTGCACACCAATAAACATTGAATATAAAAATATCAACCTGTATATACACCTACCTATGACTAACTTACACACCCTATATACATACAACAAAACCTTAACCTAAACTTAATAAGTGTGCACATTTGGTGTGCTTTAGTTTCGGCAACGGTTTTGTGAAAATGTCCGCAATCATGTCTTGTGTGGGTATGTATTTCAGGTGAAGATTATGTAATATAAGTGAGTCGCGGATGAAGTGGTGTTTAATGTCAATATGTTTGGTGCGTGCATGATAAGTGTTATTGTGTGCTAATTTGATAGAACTTTGATTGTCAGTGTGTATGATGATGGGTTGTGGAGTGACGGCGAATACTTCGGTTATGAACGATTTGAGGTAAATAGCCTCCTTGCAAGCCTCCGCCAGAGCCATGTACTCGGCTTCTGTCGTGGAAAGCGCCACTGTACGCTGCTTGCGAGCTTCCCAT